TAACGTATGTCCATTTTTTTAAAACATAAACCAATTATTGCATTTCTCTATTTTGTTTATTTATTTTATTTATTTTTTATGTGTGAGGTGAATTATTGAAGAGATGCGATATAGTGACGATAGATAGAAGTGTTAGAGGACGGAGTAGACCTAAATTGACGTTAGCTAGCGTAGTAATTAGAGATATGAATTTACTTAATTTGACTAACAAAATGACCTTTGATAGAGACGTGTGAAGAACAATGATTCATGTAACCCACCTTATTTGATGAGACTTAAGACTTGACTTGATTTGATTTGATTTTGTGAGGTGAATTATTGAAGTTGCCACTTTATTGTTATTATTATTAAATAGGTTCAAATTGTTATAATCTGAAAAAGGTAATAATAGTAAAAATACACTATTCATTTCCCTTTCCTTTCTTAATTTGTATTAAACCAAACAAGAAGTGGTGAACATTACTCTCCCTTTCCTCTTAGCTAAGCAAACACCATGAGGAATACCTCCCCTTCCTTTCTATCCCGTTCTCTCATAACTATTTATTTCTTTTGCTTTCCCTCCCCTCAATCCAAAGAAAATGTAAGTACTCTAAGAATTTCATTATATTCACATCAATTTTAGCTAATGGTTTCTATTAGTAGACCTTTTTTATTTTTGTTAGCAAAAGGAGAAAATTGTATTGATGATAAGTATAGTACAAAGTAAATAGCATACATCAATTGTTGTCAAATCTTCTGTGTAAAATAAAATAATTTGAAAATAAATTCAAACAAAATAAATAAATAACATACCGGATTTATTTATCGAACCGAATTAAAATTAAGACCAAGTCGAGTGTGTGACACTCTGTCCTTAAGACAGATTCGCCCCGCTACGGTACATACGGTTGAGTGGCGTCTATCTCCTAGGATACAATGATCTTCACAAATTGTAGTAGTACTCCAAACAATTTGTTCGGTGAACCAAACTTATGTTCTAACTCTCTGAATATTTATTCCTAAAACTAAATATGAGGAATAATGCACTAAAAGAAATGGACAGCAAAGGGACCAAATATCAGACTGAATTTTCTGAATTTTTTCAAGTCCCAAGACTGCTGGAATAAGATCTATATATATAGGCAAAAAATGAGACAACCGAACAGGCGCAACCTTTTTAGTAACCAAACAGTTATGGACTGTTTGCACAATGAATACAAAAATTCAAAAAAGTTGACCGTTAGTGGAAGTTGTCCAAAACCTATGAACAGGTGCATTTGAAAATTGAATTTGTTAATGAACAAATTTTCAAACATAAAGGATCCGAAGTTGACCAAGTCAAACCTGTAGGTAATTTGTTATTTAAACTATTTCAAATATATATATATATATATATATTAAATTATTGAAATAGTTAAATAAATAAATAAATAAAGAGGTACAAACTTTAGGAAACATTTAAGGAACCTAAAATTTAAATTTAGAATTAAATTAAATTCTAAAATTACACATTTTAAGAAACCACTTAGGAACTCAAAATTTGAATTTAGAATTAAATTAAATTCCCACAATAATTTTTATTGAAAAAATTCAAAAGAATTTTATCTAAAAAATTAATGTTAAACCCGAAAATGACGTCATCTTCCCATTCACTCATAAATGGTTTTGACGTTCCGTCTTCACCACTTCACCTCTTCGGACCCATCCCAAAAGACGTTTGGGGTCCACCCAAATTGGCTTAAAAAATATGCCTATATATAATCATTTTTTTCCAACATCAATAACGTAGAATAGAGCAAAAAATATAGCTAAACTAAAAGATTCCAACTAGATTGGCACAAAATAGAAAACCCAATCATATAATAGCTCTATCTCATATTGGTGAAAGACCAACCAAACAAGAAGAACAACATGAAAAAGCTAGACAAACTAAAAACAAGATAACCAATCCAACACAACATCCCCACACCTTACTACATCAAGCAAGCCCTCAAAAATCTCAAATGGTGTCTAAACCTCTGCTACTCTCACAATTACATATATAATTTCTGCACAGAATAATTGTGTATTCTAATTGAGTAAGACATGCTTTGAGGCCAAAACAAAATCCTCTTCTATCCTGCCTATGCCTCAAGTAGCTTTTGATTGAAAGATATTTGTTTCTAGCTTCAAAGCCAAAGATAAAGTTTTGACTAATCAATTTATAAATTTTTTAAATAAGGAAAAAAAAGAAATTTAAACATAAATAATTAATACGACAATAATACACCTCCTTCTTCAAAATAAAAGATTCCACCTAATCCAAATCGATACAATAATTACCAAACACATCCTGAGTAATCTTGAATTCCCAAACATTATTATTTATTTTTCTAGACCTGTTCGTTTTTAAAGATAAGATGAATGAGATTGTTAATGAGTGGATTAAGAAAAATTATATTTATTTATGATATATTTTAATGAGAGGATTAGCTATATGAAATATCATAAATATAATTTGGTATTTTTGATATATTTTAATATTAAAATTATATTTTATAAATATATTATTATATTAAATTAGTTTTATACAAAATAAACATGAAATAATGAGAGCCAAAAAAAAATAAAAACAAAATAAAACAAAAACAATCAGCCCATGGTTTTTCGAAACCCATGGTTCTCCGAAAGCCAGTAAAGTGTGAAGTTGTAGTGTGAAGTTTGAAGGGCTGTACATACTATGCCTAATTTGTTTAAAAGATTGTGGAGTTGTGTAATTATTTCTTTGTGTTTTCCCTTTTATCAATATAAGTATGATGCTTATTTCTTATACTTTTAATTTGTGAAATTCGTACTAAGATTAATGATAATTTATAGAGAAAATTGAAATCTAATTTATAGGTGTTTAAGACATTAGGTTCAGTGTATTTTTTTTTTATTAGTGAGTAGTCCACCATTTGTAAAGTGATTTTTTTATTGGTAAGAGTAGTCCACCATTTGTAAAAGAGACCATTTGTAAAATAGTTTAGTGAGAAGTCCTTTTACTTGTTTTGAAGAACATTTTGTTTTCAATTTTACTCCTCAATTTATTTGTTGACTTTTTTTATCAATAGATTTTTTTTTGAGTATCTCTTCAAATTTTTCATCTATCAGTTTAAATTTTTTGACTATCTGTTCAAATATTTTTTATTTGTTGAATTTTTTAACCTATTTGTTGGACTTTTTTTTACCTATTTTTAAGAGACCATTTGTAAAATAGTTTGATGAGAAGTCCTTTTACTTGTTTTGAAGAACATTTTGTTTTCAATTTTACCCCTCAATTTATTTGTTGACTTTTTTTATCAATAGATTTTTTTTTGAGTATCTCTTCAAATTTTTCATCTATCTGTTTAAATTTTTTGACTATCTGTTCAAATATTTTTTATGTGTTGAATTTTTTAACCTATCTGTTGGACTTTTTTTTACCTATTTTTTCTATCTGTTCAAATTCACACCATTTTTTAACTCTCTCTGTTTGTTACTTTTTCTTTTCTCTTTTCTCTCTCTATCGGTATATCTCTCTCTTGTTCTTTCTCCATATCTGTTAAAATTTCCAACCACCAACAGTCAGATGTAATCTAGTACATACACAAATAGATCTGTTCAATTTTTTATTTTTATCTGCTAAAAAAATCTCTATTCAATATGGACATATCAGAATCTTTTATCTGTACAATAACAATAACAACCACCACCACCTATCTGTAGTTCGGGGAAAAAAAACGCACCTACCTATTCAGAAAACAACGCCACAACAACACTTTTACAGAACTAGTAACTAAATCCAACAGCTATATTTGGTCGAAAAAAAAAAAAAAAAAATTCAGTCGGGACGATGGTGAACAACAACAACGAAAAAAATTATCTATTTTTTTTTATTATTGTTCAACTACAACAAAGAAAAAAAATCAACACAGAGATCTGTTTAGATCTGTTTAAAACCTGTCCTAATTTTTCCTATCTTTTGAAACCTATCTGTTCAAAATTCAACCAATACAAATTCTTTTAAACCTATATGTTCAAAATTGAACAGATCAGTGCAAATGTTTTTTTTAATAAGCTGCAATATGTTTCATTTCCATGAAACACACACACACACACACACACACATATATATATATATATATATATACAGATATGGAAAATCAAAAGCCAAATCCATGAAACACACACACACATACATAGAAAAAGAGAAGAGGAGAAGAGAAAGGGCGGCGATGGAGGTGGTGTAGCGGTGACAGTGGTGGTCGCGACAGTGATAAAAAATGAAGAGGCGACGACGACGACGTGAGAAGATCGGCGGCGGAGGGTGAAAAGAGAGAGAGGGCGGCGGCGGAGGTGGTAAAGGCAGTCACGATGGGTGTGGCGGAGGCGACAGAGTCACCGATCTGAAGTGATGATCTCAAATCAGAGATGATTGACGCGACGGTATAGTGGTGGAGGGTTTCTTAACGGTGTTGGAACCTCAATGATGATGATGATGATCTCCGGAAGAGACGACAACGATGATGTCTTCTCGTTGCCGGAATTTGACAACGTTGACTAATCGTCTCCGCGAAGCTGTTCGTAGTGAAGAAGTGACCGGGAAATCTAGAGAGAGAGAGAGAAAACGAAAGAGAGAGAGTATGTTTTGATTTTTGTGAACGGTGTCAGTCATTTTTCTTGAGTTTATCTTTTTAAAGAAGTGTTTCAACACTTATCCTTTGGACAAATAAGATTATAATTTAGACTTTGAATCGAGTATTCTAATTTATAATATATTTTTGATTTAAAAGAAAAATTAAATCATTCAAAATTATTATTATCAATTGTTTATGATCAATCTATTATCAGTTATAGTAAAAAAAAATTCTATCATTTAAAAAAAAAAAAATCAAAGATAAACAAAATTTTATAAAACATTAAAAAAAAGAAAATATCCACAATCTTTAATCATGACTTAAAATCTTTATCATTACGATTATAGTACTGGGCATATTGGAAAGCCAGCCCATGCTTTTGACACCGAAAGATTCTTTACATAACAGCCCAGCTTTACAAAAAGTATTCTCATCAACCCAGCTTTACAAAAAAGTATTCATCAACCCAGCTCTACTAATCCTAATCCTAAACCAAAGCCCCAACTCGGAAACAAACAGGGCCTCCCTGGCTATTGGGTGAGTTCAGCTGTAATAACAACCACCACCACCATGTCTTACATACCTCCACACAAGCGCCACTCGAAGGATACAGACAAGCCACCCCCAACACCAGAGTCTCTCACTCCTCAATTTCACAATAATCTCAATGTTAGGTCATCTGGATCTTCTCCCAAAGATAGGAAGGCCAAACATTCCAAACATTCTTTCAAGGCTGGCAAAATTAAATATGCAGATGATGCAATATGTAGATGGTTTCCTGTTGGCTTCCCCCCAGACCAGCCTATGTCATTGAAATCCTTTGAGCAGAAATTGCCTCTCTCTTTGGTGCTGGACACTCATCTAACCAAAGGTGTGTTTGTTTGGATAAATTCTCTCTAGATTAAAATTTACTTTAATTTGGTTGAATTGTAGTCAGCTATCTAGTGCAATTCGTTTGGCATGTACGGCTTTTTAGTTATTTTAGTTATAAAAGATAAAAAAAATAGGCTTTTTGCCTAGTAAGACAAAACAATACCTTAACCTATAATTATTTTATTTTTTTTTCATAAAAATTAAAAAAAAAAGCAAAAAATTTCTCACACAAAAATAAAAAAAAAACAAAAAATTTATACCAAATGAGGCTTTTTGACCTTACGCTAAAATAGCCAAAAAGTTAAAAATATCCCAAACAAACCCTAAGTTTAAGACAAATTATCCCCCTAATCTTGTAGTTTTAATTTGGTCCTTCCTAGTTTTATTTGTATCAATTTTATTTTAATTTTTCACATTGTATCAATTTAATTCAATTAATAAAATTCTTTTAAAAGTTGGACTGAAATTAATGGATAAAATAAATAGTCTCTGAAATCAATAGGTAAAATACTTTATGGGTCTGGCTTCCCTCCAGTTCTGTTGGGTTCATGGGATTCACTATGGGTCCCGTTTCGATAATTTGAATCGTTCAATGTGAAGAATTCGTCGATTATTATATGCCTGTAAAAAATTACGTTGATTGAATATTGATAGTTACGTAATCAAATTAGTTTTGTATAAAAAAAAATGGACGGTGAAAAAATAAACAGTTGACAGAAATTTGATCCGATGAGATAGCTATCAATATCTGATCAACGTGATTTTTACAAGCATATAGTATTCGACGAGTTCTACACATTAAACGGTTGGAATTATCGAAACGGGACCCGTGATAAACCCCCACGAGCTCAACAATATCAGACTGGAGGGAAGCTAGACCCATAGTTTATTAACTCTCTTCAAAAGTGATAGAACGGTTGAATTGACGTCCAGTTTGGAGTGTTGCTATTTGCCCCACCTTCAAATTTGATTTTTTTATTTTCATTTCTTTGGTCCCCTCCTCATTCTCAATTATACCCTCGTTTCCTAAACCCTAACCCTAGCCCCCACCTTCACCTCACGCTGCCTGCTGCCACCCATCTAACAATCCCCTTCCCACTGCAACCTGCCTTTTCCATCCCCATTGCCCTCTACACTCACAACACCCGCCCCGTCGTCCCGTCCTCACCCTTGCGGGCCCCCATCTTCCCCTTTCCTTCTCACCATTGCAACCCCCTAGCCCCTCCCCCTTCTCCTTATTCTTCTTCTGCTCTCTCCCGCTCTCTTTCTCTCTTGCATGCTCCGGTAATGATGGCAGAGAGGGGTTGCAAGGCTGAGAGAGGACGGGGGAGGGATGGTGATGGCAAAGATGGTTTGTGGAAGGGGGGTGAGGGTGAGGAAGGGTTGCCAGAGCTGGTGGAGGTAGGTTTTGGGTTTGGGAGGTTAGGAATGGGAGATAAAATGGGAATGTTATGTTAGGGTAAAATTGTAATGAAAAGAAAAAGAAAATGAGAGGGGTGGGGTCATTCTATTTACACACTACTTTTCCTTTCAAGGCGAACCATTAATTAATTTTTTTTATTACAATTTTAACCTTAAGTGAAATGACTATAAAGGACAAGTTATGATACACCTCATTTGTGTATTTACCATAAAGGACAAGAATCAATATAATATAAATCATCAATTTCAAACTTGTTCCTTACGTATCTTCTCTGTCAAGAATCCAAAAACCTAAAAACCAAAATAAAAAACCCTTCAACAAATAATCAAAAATATAGTATTATTGAAGATTTTGATTGGATTCAATAAAGGATGCATCTGACAATTCTCATTCGGAACAATGGAGCAATGAAAATGTTTTAAAGGTTTTTTTTTTTTTTTTTTGGTTGTTTTCGTCTTCGTTTTCGTTTATGAGTGGTAAATCGTTATTCGGTTAACCAAAGGTGAATGATATATCATTGTTCGACAAACTACAATCGAACAAATTATATATGTTCAACAGACTACAATCGAACAACTTATATCTGTTCAACAGACTACAATCGAACAAATTATACCTGTTCAACAGACTACAATCGAACAAATTATACCTGTTCAACAGACTACAATCGAACAACTTACATATGTCCAACAGACTACAATCGAACAAGTGCAATTTGTTCGGATTACTACAGTCGAACTTTTTCATTTAATTCAACTCTGTACTGCCGAACAGTTATAATTTTTTTTTTTTTCCAGAACTGTGTTGAGCAACACCACCGACGACGTCTTGATAAGTGTTTTCAGCAATGGTGTTAACCGGTGTGAATAGAGAATGGAGGGGGAGATGAATATCGTAGGTGTGGGGTGTGTGGCTGTGTGGGGGCAAAGATGGAACTTTGTGTGTATATTGTTGTGGGTGGGTATGTGAGTAAGGGTAAATATATAAATTTGTGGTGTGTGATGAGAAAAATATTTAATTTTGCAAATTATTTTTGGTGTGTCTATAGAAGTGGTTTGCCTTGAGAGGGAAAGTGGTGTGTAAATAGAGCCTCCCGGAGGGGTGGGGTGGGGGGCGTCCAAAGAAGAAATGTGAGGTTCATAGCAGCACTCACTTTGAAATAGTTAATTCTCTTTTGAATAGACTATTTTACTCTTGAATTCTCTCAATTTTTTTTATGGATGTTATGAAATTGGACTAAATTGACACAATGTGAAAACTAAATTTGTACAATTATTACTACACGGACTAAATTGCCACAAGAGACAAAGTACAATGACTATAGTATACTTTATCCATTTTATTTTTTGCAGAGAACAAAGGAGAGGTTCTCAAAAGTCCATGGGAATCTATAGCTGAAGATGTACAGGAAGACCTCCTCTCTTCTTTCCAAAATCTGAGGAATGTAATGGAGTGCCAAGAAGTAAATTTAAAGCCAACTCTGGTTGCTAGATTTGGCAAAATTCTTTTTCATGGGTTGGTAATCCTACTTTCATGGATTGATCAGCTGTTGTTTCATTTGGTTTTCATTGTGAATAATTTCATTTCAATGTCCTTATTCTCGTCTTGGTCCTTTATAAACTATGAAATTTATGATTACAACTATTAGCTTTATGTGAGCTGTTTTATATGACGTGAACTGGGGATATAGAATCAAAATATGCTACTCGGATATCACTCATACTTTTTATATTTGCATGAGAATTACTCATTATCCATGCTACTGCTACTTTTTTCTTCCCCTCATTTTAAATCAGTCCTATATTTGCATTTCTCACCTTAAAAAAAAGCTAGGAAGACTCTGTCTTCCCCATTCTATTGTTTTGTCTTCTGTGGTAAAAGTGAAATATTCAGACTTAATACTTTCCCAATCTTTTGAATTTCAGAATGCTAAAATCATTCCTTTGCAAACATAATTATGAGATGGTTCCTTCTTAGCATCCATTTTACACTTATTTGCAAAAATATAAGGGCTTCCATTAGTTACATTTACATAGATTTCCAATCTTTTGATTTGAGTATCACAATAAAGTTCACAGTAATTGATGCAGTCAATAAAAATTTGTACATTTTAACGGCTATTTATATGTCTGGATTGAGGTATAAAACAATGAATGTTGAGTAGCACATAACAGGCTCTTTTCTTAGAGCTTCTTAAGATCTTACATTCACTTTTGGCTGGTGACCTAGTTTTTGCTTCTATGTTGCCACATAGCAAGTTAGCAACTATTCATAATTACTGTTATCATGGAAAGCATATATAAAATATGCTTAAAATTTGTTGGAATATCTATTGGAAAGAAGAGAAATAGTCTAATATTAAACTTCTATGTTAAAACCTACCATCACCTACTCCACCTACTACACCTACCACCACCTACTACCACCTACTACACACCTACCACTACCACCTACTACCACCTACTCCACTACATCTCCTATATAAGGAGCCCCTCACCATTTGTAATAGATAACATATATCAATCAATAATACAATTCTCTATTTCTTTTTATACATTGAATTTTAACATTCTATATCTTTGGGTTTTGTTTAGGTCCATTTCCAATATGTTGTGCTTGAACCAATCTCTAACTTCACTATTCCATGTGTCCTAAATGTCAAGGGTGACTGATTGAAGAAATTAGTCTTAGTTAAATTTTTGTTCCATTTGATGGGATTTAAGGCTTGATTTCGTTTGGTTTGGTTTAACTTCCAACATACCTTGAGCATGTTCAACTTACTCATTGTGCCTTAAAAGAAGTCACATGGCATATTTCATAGATCTTTGGGATCTAGAGTGAAGTCAGGTTTTTTGTCCAGTGGGGGCATATTTCATCCACAATTTTTCCCTTTTTTAGAGTAGAAAGAAATAAATATTTTTCAGTGCTTAAGTTTTTCATAATTATATATATATATATTGTGTTGCGCAAGTATTAAAGTATTTATCAATTTTTTTTTTTCGTAATTTAAACCCTAAATATATGTATATTAATGTTTTGAATGCCAAAGAATGGAATTCTTTCATAGATGTGTCAATCAATTCTCTCATTGAAAAGAAAAAAGGGTTACAAGACTAATAATAATTTTATTTTGAGTAAATTACAATTTACTCCCTGAAATTTGATTTGTGCCGCTAAACCCTTTGGAGCGAATTCCAAACTGTAAAATTGACTTTTTTTTGTCTACATTATTAGCTTGTGCATAATAGTATAATACTTTTTTTTTTCAAATTTAAAAGTGAACTATTCAAATTTTAAGAAGACATTTATGCCCTTAACAATTTTTTCCCTTTTTGCCTGCCCTAAAGTTTGATTTGCAAACCACTGCTGCAAGTAGAGAGGGAGGGAGGGAGGGAGGGGCAGGGGTTTGGAAGCAGGAGGCTGAATTGACTGGGGTGAGGGAGAAGGAATGATGGGATGTTGGAGGGGAGGGGAGGGGAGTTGCTATTGGGTTAGTAGAGAAGGAAGGGGACAGCAATGAGGGTGGGAAGGGGGGAGGGAGTTGCAACCTATGTTACATGGACTGAGTACGAGTGTCGGGCGTGGGTGTGTATCCAATCATCAGACCTTCATAAATTTAAATCTTAGGATCTTGGGGTACGTATTTAAAATTGGATATGGGTACGAGGACACGTCTTATGCACATATATATTGCATATTATATAATATTCTAGGATGAGATGTTTTAAGTTATGTAGAAATATATTAGAAATTAAATATGATTCAGAAAAAATATTAAATTTCTATATCTAATTCATGTGAGAGCCTAAAAATATTGTTTTACTAACAAATGTGAGTTTCTTCTTCTTCATGTGTTGTCACAAATTAAAGAATTTGAGTGTCTAAATTGGGTACGAGCATCGGAGACATATCCCTTACCCTTACCTATGTCATATCCAGTGGACACGGCTACTGTGGGGGAAATAGAAAAGTCCATGTAACACATGTTGCAACACAATTGGGGGACGGGAGAGGGAGCTGTGATGGAGTTGACGAGGTGGAAGGAGGCAGCGACTGGGATGGGAGGAGGGTAGGGGTTTCGGTGACATAGGTGGGGGAGAGGGTTGCGGAGGGGGGTGGGGAAAGAATGGGATGTGTCGTTTGTTGGTGACGGATGGGGGAAGAGACGACAGGAGGTGCTTGGTGGTGGTGGTTTCGGGTAGTGAGTGGGAGAGGGGCCTGTAATGGGGATGCAATAGGGGAGAGGAGAGGAGCGACGGGTTGCTTGGTCGCAGTCATTGTGGAGAAATAGAGGCGCTTGCAATGAATGGTGGTTTTGGGTGGTGGTGAAGGAGGGTGATGGTGTTTTTTGGTGGTTGATGGTGGGATGAGAGAGGAGAAAGAAGCATAAGAGGAGAGAAATAAGAGAGTTATTTTGTCTTTCTTAATTATTCTGTTATAGCCATCTATATTTTAATTTTGGTATTCACCCCTAGGGGGTTTATTGTCACAAGTCTAACTTCAAGGAGCACCTTGTTTTTTATCCTAACTCTAGTGGTAAAGTGCAACATACCCTTTATTTGGAACCAGTTAGAAGCCACATAAGAAGAGCATTGATATGGTCATCTATCTAAGGGGAGTGCTATAGGATGATTGGGGTGTGATACCTGGATTGCTAATTAGCACTCTACTACTGAGCTAACTGCCCTACTTGACTAGCAAGATTTTAATAACATGTAAACAAAGTTCCTCATACCCACCAACAAATTCACATCAAAATTCAAAACTATCTACTTAAGTCATCTATAAATGAATTTTCTCTAAAAATCCAAACTAATCTTTCAAAGGCAATATTACTAACCAAACCAAATCAAGCCTTAAGTCCCATCAAATAGGGTCGGCTACATGAATCCTTCTTCTCCGCTCGACTCTATCCAAGGCCATGTCGTTAGTCAAATTAAGAAGATTCATGTCTCTATTTATTACACTAGTCCACGTCAATCTAGGTCTACTCCTTCCCCTAACAGTACTATCTATTGTCACTGTATCGCATCTCTTTACTACTGCATCTATTGGTCTCCGTTGTATATGACCAAACTATCTCAATCTATTATCTCTCAAATTATCTTCTATCAGTACTACTCTTACCCATTCTCGAATATACTCACTCATTCTTAACTCTGTCTTTTCTAGTCTTATTTTACATCCACTTTAGCATCCTCATCTCAGCAACACTTATTTTATCTACATATTTTTTAATTGCCCAACATTTCATCCCATACAACATCGCTGGTCTAATAGCCATTCTATAGAACTTCCCTTTTAGTCGAATGGGTACTCGCTTATCACACAGTACTGCAAACACACTCTTCCACTTAAGCCATCCCGCCTTAATTCTATGAACCACATCCGCTCCAATCTCCCTAGTCGTTGAGATAATCGATCCTAAATAACAAAAATATTCACTCTTAGGTAGTTCTTGGTTCTCAATCTTCACTTCTCATCTGCCTTCCTTTAGATTCAAGTGCTTTTCTCCAATTCTCTAACTTAGTGTTAACTTCTTCTCTAATCTCATCCACTAACACGATATCATCGGCAAAAAGCATACATCATGGCACATCATCTTGAATATTGCGCGTCAACTTATCCATAACTAAAGTGAAAAGATAAGGACTTAAGGCTGATCCTTGGTGTAATTCTATAGTAATTGGAAATTCACCTATCTCTCCAACAAGCGATCTAATAGTGGTCACCACACCTTCAAACACATCCTTAATCATATCAATGTAACATTTTGTCACGCCTTTCTTCTCTAACACCCACTAGATTATATCTCGAGACACTCTATCATATGCTTTCTCAAGATCGATAAAAATCATATGAATGTCTGTTTTCTTTTCTATATACTTTTCTATTACTCTCTTCAAAAGATAGATTGCTTCCATTGTTGACTTACCAGGCATAAACCCAAATTGATTCTCTGACAACTCTATTATATCTCGCAATCGACGTTCCATTACTCTCTTCTACACTTTCATTGTGTGACACATTAACTTGATTCCTCTATAGTTGTTGCAATTCTAAACATCTCCTTTATTCTTATATATTAACACTAAAATACTCTTCCTTCACTCTTCTGGCATTTTTCTAGTCAACAAAATCTTGTTAAATCACCTAGTCAACCAAACAACCCCTTTCTTATCCAAACATTTTTGCGCTTCAATAGGTACATCATTGGGTCCTAAAGCCTTATTCAAGTTCATCTTCTTAAGTGCAAACTCTACTTCAAAGTCCCTAATCTTACGATAGAACCTATAGTCCTGGTTTTCCGTATTACTGCATACTTCCTCCCCTTTTACCTACTTTCATGTTCCTCATTTAATAACTTTTCAAAATAGTTCTTCCATCTCTCCTTAATCTCTTTATCAGTCACCAACACCTTAGAGTCCTCACCCTTGATACACTTAACCTGATTAAAATCTCTTGTTTTTATCTCTCTTATCTTAGCAAAGTTTGTATATCCTCTTCTCTCATTCCTTACTATCTAGTCTAGTGTATAGGTAATCATAGGCTTTCAACTTAGTCTCTCTTAACCTCCTTATTGGCCAATCTATAGCGCTTAAGGTTTTCCTCAATTCTATCATTCTGTCACTTTTTCAAGCTCTCTTTTTTCGTCTTTATTACCGCTTGGACCTTCTTCCTCCACCGCAAAGTTTTCTTAAAGTTAGGTCCATTTCCTTTCGACTTTCCAATTACTTCCCTTGAGATTCTCCTCATATAATTGGCCATCGAGTTCCACAAAGTGTTAGCATCATCTTCCATGTCCCAAGTACCTTCTTTATCCAGTTTATTCTTAAATGTATATAGTTTATCCCTTTTAGGTCCCACCATCTAGTCCTACGACGCCCACTATCTTTCCAAGCTTGGTATTGCCCTTTAAAGCATAAGTCTAGTACTAAAATTCTATGTTGAGACATCAAGCTCTCTCCAGGAATCACCTTACAGTCGCTGCATTTTAGACGGTTTTCTTTTCTTACTAGAAAGTAATGTATTTGGCTCCTAATTAACCTACTCTTGAAGGTTATCAAATGTTTCTCTCTCTTCTTATGCACAGTATTGACCACCACTAGGTTAGAAGACAACGCAAAATCTAAGGTAGCGTTTGATTTAGTTTTAGAATAATAATTTGATAATGGAGTTGTATTTTGAGTTTGTGAGTTATTAAATCATGATTTGAAAAGAGAAAATTTGTTTGGTTATGAGTTTTGAATTGAATTTTGAATTGAGTTTTGAAATTTTGAATTAAGTTTTGAAATAAGAAAAGTTGTTTGGTTATGAATTTTGAAAAGAATTTTCAAAACTTATAACTCATAATGAAACATACAATTCAAAACTCTATTGAAAATTTTATTCAAAGCTCATAACAAAATTCTTTTTAAAATTCAATTCAAAAAAATAATTATTAAAAAAATGAATTTTTTATTTAAAAAATTCAAAAATTCTGAAAATATTTTTTTATTTAAAATATTAAAAAATATATATTATTTTTTGTTAAAAAAAAATTCAGCTAGTGCATTAAAATTACTTTTGATTGAATTTTTTTTTAATTGTTTTGTTTAAAACTATTTTTTTTTTATTTTTTAAAAATTATTGTGACAAATTAATTTTTATTTTTAATTTATTTATTTTTTGTTAATTTTAAATAAATGACCAAATAATTTGTCATTTTGGTTTTAAAAAAATAATTTCTATATTTAAAAAAATCAAAAACAAATATAAATTTATTTTTTTTCAAATAACAAATGGCAATTGAAGAAAAAAAAAGCACTGTTCAGGTCAACTGGCCAGACGTCCAGGGGGATATCTGGGCGGACGACCAGATAGACTCAAAAATTCAAAAACTCTTTGGTTACCAAACGTGTTTTCAAATGTGTTTTGAAATGTGATTTGGAATCATATTTTGAAAACTATAATCAAATAGGGTTGGAATATGAGGGTGGAATCATGATTCCAAAATGGAACCAAACAGAGCCTAAATACTCTCTCCAGTCTCATTTCTATCACCAAAACCATACCCACCATGCACCCTCTCATAACCTAGTTTATGTACTCCTTCATGGTCATTAAAATCACCACTTATAACTAGGTTCTCTCCTACGGATATCTCCTGTAATACCTCATCCATTTGGTCCCAAAAAACTCTCTTGGTCTAATCATCTAATCCTACTTGGGGGCATATACACTAATAACGTTCACTATATTCTCTCTAATAACTAGTTTGACTAACATAATCCTATCATCTTTCCTAATGACCACAATTATATTTTCTACAAGACCTTTGGCAACTATTATTCCTACCACATTCCTATGTCTATCATTGCCCCTATAATATAGCTTAAAACCGATATCATCTATTTTCTGAGTTTTCTCACCCGTCCACTTAGTTTCAATGGCAATACTAATGGCTACAATATTTATTTTTGCAAATATATCTTGTCCTAATGATCGTCCGCCCTTGTTTGAGATGCAGGAGCCCTTCAGTTAGTCTAGAAACTGTAAAAGGGACTTCAGTTACTGAAACCACTTTGAGACTATTGAATAGATCATTCTATACAAATGTTCCTCCTACATATATGAAGTACACTACAAATGAAGTCGTGCCAAAGATTGGACTCAATTTTGAAGAGGAAAAGGAGTTATACCAAGTAAAGGTATTCCTTTTGCTAAACCGCTTTGTAATTAGATTCATGCTTCTCACACTTTTTTTGTATAATAATAATAACAATAATCACTATTTATTTTCTGAACTATGTTGTATAGCTGTCTGATAGCATGTGGCCAGATTCAACTATCTCTTGCAAATGTAGAATATTGGAAGACTGTAAGAAGCTTGAACTTTACAAGGCAAGTTTCTTCCATTCAGTAACTAAAATCCTGTGCATTTTTGTCTATTTCTATACCCATGTCGTTGTAATTGAAATCTAATTACTGTTACTGGAGTACATCAAATTTGTAAAGATAATAAAAAAAAAAAGGAAATCTAATAATGGTTCATCATTGGGGAGTTGTTAGTATTTACATTTATTATTTCCTCTTGTTTCACTTGCTGTGCTTGATCTTTTATACAGTTTTTAACCTACGGAGGCTTGCATTGATGTATTCACTTTTTTCTTGTAGATTGCATTAAACCTAGTGCGCCACCTGGTTGTAGACATATCCTGTCTCGATAGGGATCTGGACCTGAGGCTGATGCTATACACCAAGAGAATTGTAACTGATTTAACAGTGAGCATCTTTGATGAGCTTTGACTATAATTATAAATTACTTCATTCATTTCTGGCCAACTGGAGCATTTGATTAGTACGATCAGCATTAATGTTGCAACTTGCATTCTGGTCGCTTGCCCTTTCTCTTTTCTGGTGCTGTTGCGGATGAAAGTCAGATATCAAATCTGCTATATTTTAACTATTAGCGAATATCACCTTATCCCCCAAAAAACCCTGTTTTCTCCTCCCCCACTTTTCAAATGCTTGACTGTTTAGTGAGGAAGTTCTCCGTTCCAAGCTGAAGAAGCAACTCCAGCACAAAGAAAACATGGCATTGAAAAACCTTTGTTTCATTTGCTGCATTGTGAAATATCTTATGGGTTGAATTACATTGTAGAACAGGTTTTACATGTACTTTTCTTTATGCCCTCAAAATGTGCATAAAATTTTCCCTCCTGAAGTTTTCGAAGAAAAAAAAGGAGAGGGTAAATTACACTGACGAAAACATGGCATTGAAAACCTTTGTTTCATTTGCTGCATTGTGAAATATCTTATGGGTTGAATTACATTGTAGAACAGGTTTTACATGTACTTTTCTTTATGCCCTCAAAATGTGCATAAAATTTTCCCTCCTGAAGTTTTCGAAGAAAAAAAAGGAGAGGGTAAATTACACTGACCTGCCCCAAGGTTTGAAGAAAATACGTCCAGTTCCACAGTTTTGACATAATTGGGTTCCTTTAAGATTTTAATTCACATAATACTTAACCCTCCTTTCAACAATAATTTGTTAGTTATATGAATAAAAAATGATGTCATCATATCTTTTACACTTAAATGTAAAATTTTCCTTTGTTTATCCTTGTGTTTCACACCATCTGCATTAGTTTTGGTCTCTCTAGCCTTACTAAAAGGGAGGGTGGTGTGTAATTATGTCAAAACTGTAGGGCTTATTATATTTTTTTCCAAACCTTAGAGGTGGTCCGTGTAATTTACCAAAAAAGGGAAGATTCTTTCATGTTGACAGTAACAGTAACAGTGACAGGAATCGTTGTATATTTTACGTGGAAAAACAAATATTGTTGTAGCTTCCATCAGACTTAAAATTAGTTAAGCATTTCCTGAAGTTTCTCTTTTTTGAGAGCTCTCCTTACTGACAATGAAATTTTGTGATCATGTTATCATTTTTACTGTTCCAGGATGATGAGAAGTGCAACATCAGGAGCCTGATCAATTCTGCAGTTCTAGATCCAGATGTGAAGGGTGGGTTAAGGTGGCCTCTGGGAAAGGAATCTTCTGGAGATCGGTACACTGTTGTTGGGATTTGGCACACAAATGCTAAAACATTTAGAAGTTCATCAATGAGACTTAAGGTTCGGCATGCAGATCGATTCGATTTCAGGACCTCAGCTGGAGAAGTTACAGAAGAGGTCAGTCTGAAGATGACTGGAATTGCATCACAGCTACGGGTATGTTTTTTTTGAAGGGTATGATATATTCCATCTGATCCATTGCATTTTCTTGATAAATTATGACCTACTTGACACCTTTGCACACGCTAATTAGTGAATTTTGTAAAATAAGAACTCGATGGTTACTTTTTCTTCGGGTTAATTTTAACCTTTATCTCTTAAATTATTTCCATTTTTCTTTTTCATCCCTAAACAATCAATTGCATCTATTTAGTCACTAGAGTTTCTTATTTCAATTTATATGGTCCAATTGGTGAAAGCTGTCCAAATCAATAATTGTTAAACCCTAAATTGATAGATAAAAAAAAAATCATTTTAAAATTTGAACAACTTAAACCATACAACCATACACATTTTTCTTTAGTCATTATTTTGAAATGAGGAGTGGAGAAGAAATTGGGTGTTTGGTCGTAGGTTGTCTAATATAGTGTAAGGAAGAAGATTTGTGTTTACTTGTACGATATAGGTTGTTCAAATTGCAAAATTACTTTTTTTGCCCGTTGAATTAGATTTCCACTACTATTGATTTGAATGGGGTGTTTCCAATTGGACCATATAAATTAAAATCAGAAATTCTAGGGTCTAACTATATGAAATTGATAGTATATGAAATTGATAGTTTAGGGATGAAATAGAAAAATGGAAATAATTTAAGGGATGAAAGTGAAAATTAACCCTAAGACAAAATAACTATCAAGTTCTTATTTAGGGGATTAAAGTGAAATCAACCCTTTGTCTTGTTGTTAGAATACTTAATTTGTTCTTTTGTTCTATTGTTAATATTTACTTAAGTTGAGGGTACGATGGTCATGTTGCTATGTTAGGGTTTGTATATATATTTGACTGATGTAAAGTTGAGGCACTATGATTATTCAATATATGTAAAACTTCTTCTTCCTCCTCCTCTTAAATCCCAACCCTAAATTCCTTCATTTTACATTCTAACTTGGCATCAGAGCGACCTATTCTTCATTAAAAATGTTTTACAAACTCTGGAGATCGATCTGAGGTGACTGAAACGTGCTGATGTCATTAGGCATACGATGACGTTAGCATGACGTAAGCACGGTATGGACAGGTCCTTCACCTCTAGACTCGAAATTGCCTCCTCAGATTTATGGTGATTTTTGTAAAATTTTTTGATCATCCCTAATGTGAGTTTTCGATTTTTTAAAGTATTTTCATGTTTTTGGGACTGTTTTTCAAATCTACTCTTGGGATTGCTTTTTGCTATTTTTTTTTTTTTTTTTTTGCTGGAATCTCTTCCCTAGGAGCCGAAAATCATAACCCTAGGCGTCCTTGATCTTAATTTGTGATCCTCTAGACTCGAAATTGCCTTCTCAGATTTATGGTGATTTTTGTAAAATTTTTTGATCATCCCTAATGTGAGTTTCCGATTTTTTAAAGTATTTTCATGTTTTTGGGACTGTTTTTCAAATCTACTCTTGGGATTGCTTTTTGCTATTTTTTTTTTTTTTTTTTGCTGGAATCTCTTCCCTAGGAGCCGAAAATCATAACCCTAGGCGTCCTTGATCTTAATTTGTGATTTTGCTACTATTGGGTTGATGTTTTGTTCGATTATTGCCTAATTTGTAGTCCAGCAGCACTGTTTCTTCAATTCTACCTATTGAAGGTTTCTATATAAGGGCTGAAATCCTTCTAGCAAGGGATATTTGTCCTCTATTTCTTGATTGCTGATGTTGAGTCGGTGTGTTGGTCTAATTTGTGTCCAAATCTAGTGGCAAACCTGTGTTCTCCTCACTCTTGCCTATTTTTGCTGTGGATTTTTGTTTTTTTGAGCTAGTTCTATGTCTGTTTGCAAGTAATTTGGGTCCAAAATTGTTGGTGCTGTTGTGGGTATTTGTTTGCAAGTATTTTGCCCCTCGTGTTGAGAATTTTGTGTGATTGATCATTATGGTTGAGATTGAGGCTGAGGCTACAACTATGGGTAAGGATGATGACATGCCTAAATCTATCACTAGGGCTGAGCAAGGAATCCGTGAAATCCGTAATCCGATCCAGTCCAGTCCAATCCGATAGGTTTGGATTGATTTTTTGAATCCGCGGTTTGGTTCTGAATTGAAGAATTAAAAATCTGTAGTCCACGGATTGATTCCGGATTGAACCCCACGGTTCCGGATTGGAACCGATCCGGACCGTATACAAATAGTCTATATTTTTATTATACATCCTCCCCCATAGTATTTTCTCTTATTCTATATAAAATCTAAACTCAAACCTAAAATCGTATAATATCTTCTTTTATTACTTTTGTTTGTTAGTTTTTAGTTTTTAGTTTTAATTTGTAATGGTCTAAATACTTATGGTGAAACCAGTTTTCTTATAGTTATTTAAATTCTAGAACAGTATGTCGCTATTATAAAAAAACTATGTTGCTATTGTAGAACTAATATAGCGCTATGTTTATATTTTTATGAAATTAAAGTGTTATATATATATTTTTGTTATTTAATTATGTGAATCCGTGGTCTTAAACCAATCCAATCCGTATTTAAATGGATTGGTTCTATGATTTAAATAGATTGGATTGGTTCCAATTTTTCAGAAACCGTAGATAACAGATTGGTCCTGGTTTTACCCTAATCCCGTCCAATCCGGACCATGCTCACCCCTATCTATCACTACCAAGAAATTGAATGGTGCCAATTATTTGGCTTGGGCCCATGCCGTCAAGATTTTCTTACGTGGTAAGAAGTCCCGCTTCATTAGCGAACTCCCTTCTCCAACTAATGATCAAGCTTATGATGATTGGTGTAGTGAGGATTTCTGTGTTATGGGTTGGATTTGGCATAGTTTGGAACCACATGTTGCTACTACCGTGGAATTTTGTGATACCTCTAAGGACATTTGGGACTCCCTTGCTGAGTCTTTTTCAAATCAAAGTAATGTCTCTTGGGTCTATGAGTTATGTGAACAGATTTTTGCTATGCATCAATCTGGCCGATCTCTCCCTAATTATTATAGTAGTCTCAAGACTTTGTGGGATCAGTTACTGCAGCATCGACCCTTCACTACTGATGTGAACAAGCAGAAGCAACATTGGGAGGAGTTTATGATGGCTTCTTTATTTTCTGGCTTAGATCCTGAGTTGTGAGGGTTCAAGGATCAGATTATTGCCAGTGAGACTTTACCTTCAGCTACTAATGCCTATTCTAGGCTGTTACACTCTTCATTGAGACAAGCACAATCCACTTCTGGATCCTCTACTTTATCATCTTCTGCATTGGTTTCTAGTAGTGGTGATCATGGGTCAACTCGCGGGGGTTTTCATGGTTCATCTAGCCCCTGGAGCTCTTATTCTGGTTCACGGGGCTCTCGTGGAGGTGGACCTCATAATGATGGCTCACGTAGTGGTTTCCGTGGTGGCGGTAGTAGTGAACTTGGTTCTCGTACGCGTGGTGATCGCAAGTGTACTCATTGTGGTTCCTAAGGTCATACTGAACCTTAGTGTTGGCAGAAATATGGCAAACCTAATCATGTCCATCATGTTATGGATGTCCCATCCTCACAGTCTTCCTTGTTGTCCACTGGCTTGGATGCTACTCCAGTTAATTCTCATGAGACACTCACTACTCAGATTAGTGAGTTTACTGCTCTTGTCCAGTCTCTCCGGCCTAGTCTACCTTCATCCTCTACTGCTACTATGGCTAGTTCAAGTAATATTGCATGTCTGGCTAAGTCCCCTCAGCCTTGGCTCCTAGACTCTGGTGCTAGTTCCCATGTCTTTGGTAATTCCTCTCTTTTTGATACTCTTAAACCTGTTGATCATACCATTATACTTGCTGATGGATCTTCTCAACCTGTCTATGGTCAAGGTACACTCCATCCCTTTCTTTACCTTCTGATCTTTATGTTCCTAAATTTCCATTTAATTTGCTTTCTATTAGCCAATTGACTCAAGCTCTCCATTGTTCGATAACCTTTTCTCCTACTTCATGTGTTTTGCAAAACCTCCAGACCAAGAGAATGATTGGTTTGGGGCATAAGAAGGATGGCTTATACTTTTTGGACACTGAGATCTCTCCTCATCCTCCATCCGCTGTGTTGATTGCTAGTGTATCTCCTCTTCAATGGCATTTTCGTTTGGGTCACCCCTTCTTGGCCAAGCTTAAGTTAGCTGTTCCAAGCTTGAGTCATGTTTCTCAAATTGAGTGTGAAGCCTGTCAATTTGGGAAGCATCACCGTAGTTCTTTTCCTAGTCGTAGTGTTAGTCGTGTATCTGAGTCATTTGCTCTTGTCCATACAAATATTTGGGGTCCTTCTAGAACTCCCACTGTTAATGGGTTCTTTTATTTTGTTATTTTTGTGGATGATTACTCTTAGATGACTTGGTATTTTTTAATGAAACAAAGATTTGATTTGCCTTCCATCATCTCTAAGTTTTATCATGAAATCTTTACTCGTGAAGGTAAAGATGGGAAATTCTAACAGTCCTTCTAGAACTCCCACTGTTAATGGGTTCTTTTATTTTGTTATTTTTGTGGATGATTACTCTTAGATGACTTGGTATTTTTTAATGAAACAAAGATTTGATTTGCCTTCCATCATCTCTAAGTTTTATCATGAAATCTTTACTCAATTTGGCAAACGTATTAAGATATTTCGATCTGATAATGTCTTAGAATATATGCAATCTGTTGTAACTACCTTTTGTGATACTCATGGTATTATCCATCAATCTAGTTGTTCTCATACATCCCCTCAAAATGGTGTTGCAGAGCGGAAACACCACCATTTGTTAGATGGTGCTCACACCCTGATATTTAATATGCATGTCCCCAAACAGTTTTGGGATGATGCAGTTCTCATCGCTTGTTTTCTTATCAATTGCATGCCTTTAGTGTTGTACACACATCTCCCTATTCTCTGTTATATCCCACAACATCTCCTTTTCCCTTGTCTCCTCGCATTTTTGGTTGTGTGGCCCTTGTCCATGTTCTTGACCCTGGTTTGGATAAGTTATCTCCTCGAGCACACAAGTGTGTGTTCTTAGGTTATTCTCTCACTCAGAAAGGGTATCAGTGTTTTCATCTTAAGGGGGAGTTAGCCTTTCTCACTCCTACTCTTCCCTTTTATACTCCTTCCACATCCACTCCTATATCCTCTCCATCTCCTCTTGCTTCTATCCCTCCTTTGCAGGTTTATCAACGGTCTCAAGCACGTCGCATTGTGTCTTGTGGCTCGACCAGTTTATCTCCTTCGTCTGAGGCCCCTGTTCCACCTGCTGATATGTCATTTGATGACCTTCCTATTGCACTCCGCAAAGGTAAACGAACGTGCACTCAACATCCTATTGCTCATTTTGTTTCTTATGATCGCCTCTCTCCTGGTCTTCACTCCTTTGCTTGTAGCTTGTCTAGCATTTCCATTCCTCGCACCTATCAGCAGGCTATGTCCATCTCTGGTTGGAAGCATGTCATGGATAAGGAAATGCATGCTCTTCATCAGAATCAGACGTGGGAACTTACCTCTCTGCCGTTTGGCAAATCTATTGTGGGTTGTCGTTGGATCTATACTGTTAAGTGTCTTCCTGATGGAACTATTGAGCGACTTAAGGCTTGCCTGGTAGCTAAAGGCTACACCCAGACATATGGTGTTGATTACTTGGAGACCTTCTCTCCTGTGGCTCGTCTTAATTCCGTTTGGATTCTTCTCTCTGTTGCAATCTATGAAGCACGGACACCTCTCTGAGGGCTCCGTACCAGTGTCGGACACGGATACGCGTCGGACACGCGGTGGACACGTGTTTGACACGCAGCAGAGAGTGTCCCCCTTTTTTTAATTTTTTTACATCTGGACACGTTTGGACACTTTGGGACACGTTCGGAGGTAATTTCATAATTTACAAAACTTTTTTGGGGGTCGGTTTGTAAAAAAACAAAAATAGAGCAATATCTGCCTAATTTGATTACAACAGAAGAAAAAGGGAGAGAAAGAGGGGACCTGGTCACTTTTCAGTGGTCGCTCGTCGTAGCTCGTAGCTCATAGCTCGTCGCCCGTCGTCCGTAGCTCGTCGTCGCTCATCACTTGTCGTCGGTCCTCGTCTCGTCGTCACTCGTTAAGGTACGCTGCTCTTCTTCGTTCTTCGATCTTCTTCTTCTTCGTCCTTCTTCTCCGATCTCTCTCTCTCTCCCTCTCTGTCTGATTTTATTTGTTTTTTTATTTTTTTTTCTTTTATATACTGAGTGATGTTGATCCCCCCCCCCTCTTCTATTTTTTTTTCTATTTTCTTTTTCTATCTTCAATTTTTTTTTCTATTTTATTTTTCTGATAATATATATAGATATATATTATATACTAATATATATACATATATATTTATATACTAATATAGATATATATTTGAACAAAAAAAATCTTTTTTTTCCTTTCTTTTTTCTGTTTTTTAGATATTATTGTTTGCTTAAATAAATTATTTTTATTTATAGAAAAATTTTAATTTGTGAATAATATTTGATATTAAAATAAATAAATAATATTTATATTTTTTAATTTTACATATAATAAATAAATAAAATTATATATATTGAACGTGTCCCAAGCGTGTCGTGTCCCCTATTTTTTGAAAATTTGTGTTTTCCCGTGTCTGTGTCCGTGTCCGTGCATCAGAGGTTGCAATTAATCAGTCTTGGCCTTTATATCAGCTTGATATCAAGAATGCCTTTCTCCATGATGATCTCCAAGAGGTCTATATGGATTAGCCCCCTGGCTATATTGTTCCCGACCAAGAGCATCTTGTTTGTCAATTGCGGAAGGCCTTGTATGGTCTTAAGCAGTCCCCTTGTGCCTGGTTAGATCACTTCAGTGTTGTTGTGCTTGCCTATGGATTTCACTGTTCCACCTTTGATCACTCTGTTTTTGTTCGCCACTCATCTACTGAGAGTATTGTTCTTATTGTCTATATGGATGACATCAGCATTTCAAGGAGCGACTCCACTAGTATTGCTGATTTGAAGCAGTATTTGGGATAACAATTTCACACCAAAGACTTGGGCCTTCTTCGGTATTTTCTTGGGATTGAAGTTGCCCATTCTTCTCAGGGCTTGTTTCTTTCTCAACGGAAGTATGTTCTTGATGGTGACACTGGCGACTTATTTCCCGATATTGGTCGTTATCGTCGATTGGTTGAGAAGTTAATCTATCTCATTGTCACTCGTCCAGATATTACGTATGCCGTGGGTGTGGTTAGTCAATTTATGCATGCTCCCCGTCAATCCCATTTTGTGGCTGTGTGTCGTATCTTGCAATACTTAAAGCGTACTCTCGGTTGGGGTTTGCTCTATCACCCCTCTTCCTCTTTGCCTGTCATTGGCTTCAGTGATGCTGATTAGGCAGGTAATAAGATTGACCGCCGTTCTACCTTGGGCTATTATACTTTTGTTGGTGGTAATCTTGTTACTTTGCTTAGCAAGAAACAGACTGTTGTTGCTCGTTCTAGTGCCGAGGCTGAGTATCATGCCATGGCTCATATTGCTTCTGAGATGCTCTGGGTTCAGTCTCTTCTCCAAGATTTTGGCTTTTCTGTTCCCACTCCTATGACCATGTCTTGTAACAATTAGGCTGCTATCTTCATTGCCAATAATCCTGTGTTTCATAAATGCACCAAACATATCGAAGTTGATTGCCACTTTATTTGTGATCTCTTACTCCGCAAACAACTTGTGACTTCTTATGTTCATTCTGAGGATCAATTGGGTGCTATTCTAACCAAGCCTTTGGCTCGGCCTTCGTTTCATCGCTTATCCGTCAAGCTAGGCATGTTTGATCTCTATGCTCCAGCTTGAGGGTAAGTGTTAGAATACTTAATTTGTTCTTTTGTTCTATTGTTAATATTTACTTAAGTTGAAGGTACGATGGTCATATTGCTATGTTAGAGTTTGTATATATATTTGACTGGTGTAAAGTTGAGGCACTATGATTATTCAATATATATAAAACTTCTTCTTCTTCTTCCAAAATCCTAACCCTAAATTCCTTCATTTTACATTCTAACTCTTGTAATTGTGGTTTCTTAATTGGTAAAAATGTTCATGTGTTTTTGAAATTCAGTTCTTCCAATTTGCAGGAGCAGAGCAGTCAAATTGACATGGTCACTGAAATGCTCAAAGACAACATAAAATTGATTTGGGACTGCTTCTTGTGCTTTGATTGTTAGTTAAACAGATCCCTCTTTGTGAGTGTGGGTCTTGAGCAGGTGCACTTGCAGTTCTTCCTTTACATTTAATCATGCATATATGTGCTGTAGTGTCATGCTTTAGTAAATGTAAAGTAATAATAAACAATGACTTCGAAACAGAGGTTGATGGCGATGATTCGCTGCTCCACAATGCAAAACACCTTAACCTCAGTGGACAATATTTTTGTGTACACCTTAACCACATTGACTCTTAGGAACCCAAATCCTAAATTAGTGTGCATTACCCAGGGGAAGAAATTGTTATTATCAAATTCAAAAGTGGGAAAAATTCACTTTACCTGTCAGCGGTTTTACCCCTCTTGAAATTCAAATATATGCAACAATCTCATAATTTTGGAGTAAAATGCAAACACTGAATCTGTTAATGCAAGTGTTAAAAAGAAAATAATACAATCATTTAAATATTTAAACTATAGCAGCCTATTTGCAATTCAACACTAGGTAGATATCTCTAGAACAGAGAGAGGAAATTTGGTCGATATCCCTTATATTATGTCATGAAATGATCTAAGATTTGAAAGCATGAAATAGGAAGATACTTTTTTGTGTATAACATGTTATACATGTATATCCTGGTTCTATTTTCAATTGAACTCCTTTAGAACTGTATATATGTCATATTCTAAAATTTATAATGTTTTATCAATATATGCTTCAAATTATAAAAGATGTCATCCATGATTTTCATCCCAACTACTAGGGGATGTTGAGCATTCTGGTAATACATAGTTTGAGATCTCTTTGATCACTAAATTGTGATTCTGGAGAAATTTTTGTGTGCAAAGAGGGTAGGTGCCATGTGGTACCTTCCTCTTCTCTCATTGGTTCAGAGTGGGGGTTACATTTATGTGTTGGGTGATGGGGAGACAACATGGGAGGCCATGATGTTTGTGATTGGTTGAAGGCACCATGTGGCATGCCACATGATACTCTCCTAGCACCCAATAATTTTTCGTGATTCTGACATAGCTAGAGTCGATGGGGGTAGTGATATTTGCAGCAGTTGTTGAAAGACCGATGCCTGGTGCTTCTGTCAACTCTGATGATCTCAAATATTTTGACCCAGATATGTTTAGTATTGTTTGGTTGGACATTATCATTAGACTTGCAAATTGGTATGTACATTATATAATAAGGTAAATTACAAATTCACCCCTGCGATTTGCTTAAAGTACACATTGTCCCCTATGATTTAGAATATTACAAATACCCCATTGTTAGAATTTTTTATTTAACATAATTAACTAAAAAATGAATTTCATAATTGTTCTCCTATATAATAATAAAATTACTTAAATTATTAATTGAAATATATTTTTAATATCATTAAAAACTGTTAATTGACTTCATAATTTGTTAATAAAATGGGCGATTTGTTATAAAATTAGAAACTTCATAGGGTGGAATGTAATTTCTAGAACCACAAGGGGTGATTTGTATTTTTATCAAACCTCAAGGGGTGTGTTTGTAATTTACCCTATATAATATGGTCCAAATGCAAATTAAGCTTCTAAGCTTTTTGTTTAGCTATGATTATACGAAATGTGATAACTTTCAATGGCTTTGATATATCACTATTAACTGGCCATTCTCTCAACCATCTGCACTGTATGTATGTTGGTGATGAAGGTGCTTCGCGGCTATGTGCATCAAGCTTTGTATGCTCTAGTCCTTGCCAAGAAAGAGCTTTGATGTTTGATACCAATCTATATATTTGGGTTGAGTGTTCAAGTTGTACTTTTGAAGTTTGAAGTTTGTACTCCTTTTTGTAAGACGAGCTTGGGTTGGTTATGTACTAAAACGTATTGAAGTTTTATTTCATTAGTTTGTGCACTTGTTCTGAATGGAAGTGTGTGAGTGGAACAAGTTGAATGAATATATTATTCTGCTTTTCAAACAGGTTATACCCTAAACAGAAGTACTACCGGTTTTTTCAATTAGGTCTTTGGTAGTCTATTGGTCAGGCAGTGTTTTCCCAAATTGTTTCGATTAAGTAGAGCAACATCATTACTCGATGGTTTCTAAACATTGAAATCCCGCATAATAGTCTTACGATCTGTGAGAAATTGTAGACAGGTAAAAACTTTTTATGCTTTTTGTATCTGGCGTTTATTATTGCATCTAGGTATTTTACATTTGCATCAATTGACAGATAAACCAAAATTCTCACAAACCACTAACAGACCAAGCTTTGTGGTTATGTTTTATGTCCTTGAAAAGGTCAAGTGTTTCAAGGTCAAGACTTCTTTGGAGGAAACCGATTGAGAGAAACAAACCGAAATTAAAATTAAAACACTGAAAATCTTTACTGATTATAAGAATAAAATATTGGTTAATTGATTACAAGAATCAAAATGCAATTACAGAATCACTGAATTAAAACTACTTCTAAAGAATAAATTACTCCTATGATGGAGGAAATCTACTCTTAATTGAACTGTGTCTAGAATAGTTGTTGTGTTTGGTTGTTGATGTCTTTTGCTTGCATTATCCTTGCCTATTTATAGACTTAACCGATGGTCCCTTCTTTTGAAAATAACCGCCGGAAGCAGGTCCATCTACTTGGCCACTTCAATAAAAAAGAGCGTTATTATTAGCACCCTTCAATTATTTTAGACTCCCCAGTTTTAGCCTTTAGTTTTTTATTATAATAATAACTTCAAATGAAATTACTAAAAATTACATCAAAAATTTTGCGACATTCCATCTCACAATTAAGCTGACACACTCACTACATCATGAGTTAGGGTTTATGAGATCATCTACCTCCATCATCACTCATCCATTTTCTCTAAATTTTACTTTCAAAACCTACTCTCCCTCAAAACCTTTAAAACCTTTTGGCGGCAAGATTCCGGCAGCAACGGTGACAACCATTTGATTACATATATTTCTTCGGCAATGACAATGAGTGAAAGTTTTTTCGGCAATGACAACTCCATGAGATGAGAGGAGTACAACAATAAAAGCTTAGAAAATGTTCATAACTTTGATGGTATTTTTAGCTCGGAAAAGATTAGCCTTGTAAGGATAAGTTTTTTGAAAAAAATAACAAAAATTGCGTATCATTTTTTTAGGCCCGAACTCCCCAACATATGATCGGGAACACAGATCTAAACATTATTTATTTGTTTAGGAACAAGTAACCGAACATTTCTTATTTGTTTGGGAATAGATAACCGAAACAATAGCAAAAACAGACAAACAAATGAGGTCAGACCACCATTAGATGGTCGACCAGACCGACCGGTTGACCGAGGAGTGAAATCCTATTCAATTTTGCTCACACAGAGAGCAATACAAGTATAGTGAGGCCATGGATGAATCACAGAAAACCAACCAAAGAAATATGAAAGTGGATTGTGTTGTGTGTATAAAAAGAGGTAATAGAAAAAAAAATCAAACAGATTGACAAATATCGTAATGAAACAGAGAAAAAACTTCTTAATTATCACAAATTTTTTCCATTGATTTTGGGAGGTTCCACCGTCGTGGATTTTGTTAGGGTTTTGGGAGAGGCTTTTTGGAGTGTGAGGGGTGTGGGAGTGTGCATTTTAATGGGTGTAATGCTTTTATGAGAATAATTTTGGTATTATCTGGTGGAGAAAAGAAATTGTTATTCAAAAGACAACCTAAGAGGAGGTGAATTAGGTTTTTACAATTAAAAATAATAATACCCTAATAAAATTTATGACTAACTCAATAGATAAATATAGTTAATGAAATAAAAATAATTAAAACAAGTGTTCTAACAACTATGTCAGTTAATGATTTTAGCACAATGAAAATGTGAAATATAGGTATGGCAATTTAAATAAAATAAAGAGATAAGGGAGAGAAAGGCAAACAAATTTATAGTGGTTCGGCTTCAACTCGGCCTAAGTTCACTCCTAAAGCTTCACTTAAAATTTTTCACTTTACTCTAGCTTCACAGGGTGCTAGCAACCTTTTCACAAATGGAGCAATCCTCCACAGATTTTACACAGACTTTCTAAGTCAAGAACATTGAGTGTACTACACTCTTACAAAGTTGAAAAGTAGGTATTTTTGCTTTCACAGAAAGCTACAAGAATTATCTCTCAAAGATAGATATAAAAATGAAACTCTGATTTTTCTGTAAACCTCACACAGGAAAGATGGGCTTAAACCTATACGTCTCAGTGTATAATTTCTGAAAGAGGATGTAAACAAAAATTGAAGAACACTTCTCAGAGAATTTTTTAGAGAATAGATGTGAGTCATTATAGATCAAAGAATATATTCTGGTTTTTTTTTGTGACTTGTTTATATTAGAGGTTTTGATATATATAATGAAACTTATAGCTGTTTATAGCCGTTGTATTCATTTGAATTTATAGCTGTTAATTAGGATAGAAGTTTTAGGTAAGAAATAATGGGACAAAATAAACTTTGATTCTATTTTTCTCTTTCAAATAAATCATCAAAATAAATTTTGATTCTATTTTTCTCTTTCAAATAAATTATCAAAATAAATTTTGATTCTATTTTTTTCTTCCAAATAAATTAAAACATAATTAAATAAATCATCAAAATAAATAAGTCTAACAATCTCTCCCTTTTTGATGATGGCACACAATGATGTTTTGATTTGATTTGGGAGTAAGAAAAGCTCCGCCTGAAGTCATGCTTCCTGCATTCATTTCTAAATACATAGGTTAACACATGTGTAATAAATAAGCTTTAATTAGAGACATGATATGAGACTAAGATATCAAACCATAAATACATAATCATCAGATTAGTTTTCAAATAATACCATAATTTGAAAATAATACCATAATACATAACATCATAACAAAATAATACCATAATACATAACATCATATAATTTCTCCCCCCCGTGACCTTATCAAAAGGAAATCATGGGTCAAAATCTGGAGGAGGAGGAGGAGGAGGAAAATGATAATGATAAATGACATCTATACAATTCAAAACATATATATACATATATATATACGATTCGCACGCCTCTCTTTTCCGTCGAAAATCGCGTCGGACACGCGTCTTCACTTTGCGTCAGTCGGCTGACAAAAGCGAGACAAGTCAATCAACGGCCTCGGCTCTCTCTCTCTCTCGTCTTCTTTTCATCTGTTTTCTTCTCAATCACTTTCGTCTCCTTCTTCTTTCTCATTCGCTTCCATTTCTTTCTTCTTCTACGTGAGAGAGATAGAACAGAGAGACTGAGTAGAGCAGAAAGACTGTCAAAAACGACCCTCATGTCGATTACATCTCTCTCTTCTACTTCATGGCCTTGTCTCGTCCCCTTACTCTCTTTCCGAACCTGAATGATCCCGTAAGCGCTGCTGGGCTGAGTACCCCGGCTCCTACTCTTCCCAACCTTCCTATGATGTCGATTGAGCAAATAATGGCAGCTCAATCAGACATTGAAGCCAATCATTTCACACTGACGTCCTGTATGGAGACAATGACTGCAGTCACAAAATTGGCTCATCGACTAGAGAAAAAGACGAGTGAGCTCTACCAGGTCAACGCCCAACTCTCGTTGCTCCAGCGCATGTACAAGGATGCGCGAGCAGAGATTTGCACACTGAAAGCTGAAAATAAAGAGCTTAAATGGAAGACCACCTCCATGGCCCGATTTGGAGCAATGTCGTTCTTGGCCTTTGATAGTCAACGGGGAATCGTCGCTCTCGACGAAAGCATGGGGGTAGGGCCTTCAAAGGCCTCCCAAGGTGATAAAAAGAAGAAGAAAGCGATGAAAGAGGTGAGGAAGCAAGATCGGCGTATGGCCGTAAAAAAAATGAAGGTTTTTTTTTTTTTTTTTTTTATGTAAATATGTTTATTTTGATCGGTGTATGGCCGTAAAAAAAAAAAAATAAAGGGTGTTTTTTTTTATTTATGTAAATATTTGCATTTTGATTTGTTTTTATTTTCATGTGTTAAGTACTGAAAAATAAAATTAAAAAGCAGAACAAAAATAAGAAAATAAAGTCCAAACAAAAAATAATGATGAGAAAAAAAAATAAAAATAAAAGAAATTAAGCCTAATAGCAAAATAAAAAAATAAATTAAATTAAAATAAAATAATACCAGCAGAAATTAAACTTAATGGGATGTTAGTGTTGCTGGAATGGTAATGCAAAAAAAAAAATACCATGAGGGTTTAAAAAAAAAATCAATATATGCAAAGTTAATTTTACCTCAAGATGCAGAACCCAAAAAAAATTACACAGTTGAGAATAGCAAACTGTTAAGGAGAATAAATGTATGAAGGACTTGAGAGCATTCAAATGATACAAATGTTTCCATATCAATGTAGCAATACACATATATCATTTTAACAAAAAATCAAGTTTTACAGTCATAACAAAACTTTTTAAATAGAAATCGACATTCCAACCTCGCCACAAATAAAATTGAAGCGATCTTCACTTGGGGGATTTGTGAAAATATTCGCCAATTGTTGGTCGGTGTTTACAAATTCAAGTACAATATCCCCTTTTTGAACATGATCTCTTAAAAAATGATGTCGAATTTCAATATGTTTTGTTCGTGAGTGTTGAACCGGATTTTTCCTTAAATTGATGGCACTAGTATTATCACATTTAATAGGAATATGATCATAATGCAAATCAAAGTCCTCTAATTGTTGTTTCATCCAAAGTATTTGGGCACAACAACTTCCGGAAGCTATATATTCAGCTTCTGTCGTTGATAAAGCAACAAAATTTTTCTTTTTGCTAAACCAAGATACTAATGAGTTACCAAAAAAGTGACAAGTGCCCCTGGTGCTTTTTCTATCAAGTTTGCATTCGGCAAAGTCGGTATCCGAGTAACTAATTAAATCAAATGCAACACCTTTAGAATAAAACAGTCCCAAATTTTGAGTGCCAACAAGATATCTAAAATTTCTTTTAACAACACTGAGATGTGATTCCTTAGGATTTGATTGATA